GTTTTAACATCAGTTTCATGGTGTATGATTCTTGGTTCTTCAAGCATGTCAAACACAAAACTTAACCAAACGACCGTTTATGAACGTAGAAACGATCTATATGAACATTCTAGTCCCTAGATATATCTACAGGCTTACCTCGAAGCTAAATGAAGGTTTTGAAAATTTTCTGACAAAACTTCCGGTGAGGATTGTGGCTATCTCCGGTGACCTCACACCAATATGACAGCACCACTGCGTTCTCCTCACTCCAGCAACAAAACAGATATAAGGATTGTGTGAAATGGTGGAGAATTGAAAGGATGAAGGTGGTCTTTATATAGGGAAGGAATGGAAAAGAAGCCAATAGTGATGTACGAAGTTCCTGTTTTGGCGTCTCAGTGGAGGGGGCTGGTATATTTCTCCGATTCCAAACGCAAGTCCCTGATTGGGACTAAATTGGTCCCAGTTGGGGAACACTTTTTGGTCCAACTTTCTCCGAATTGAAATCCATTTGCACCATTACGATCGGACAGTTAAACTCTATCCAATGATATAACTTTTATATTTATCTGTAATACTTTTTTCGACATCATATTTTTGGGTGATTGACTTTGACAGAGTCAAAATTGATTTATTTGACCTTTACTCAAAAAAAAGTTCTTACATTTCATTCATATTATTTATTCTCATGATTTATTTCAATAAATCATTTCAAAGTTCATATCATAAACAAACTTCTTCATTTATCCTTAATTTGGGTCTGTACTCAGGTTCCCAATTTAGGTCACACAATAAGTCAACATATTGGATTTATCTCTATGAGACTTATCTAGATTTTGATATTGGATATTGAAACATATTTCATGTCGGCCCAAAGCCCAAAAACAATTTATTTTAATCAAAACAAATTTGATTAATTGAATAATTATTCATTAATAATTCTAGGGTATATTTTGAGGCGTTACAATATGGAACCCTATACAAAAAGGTATCTATCATAAATACAATATATTTAATATATTTACTACTAAATATATTTAATATGCGCCTAACGACGTTGGTAGTGTAGAGCAAACACCAAGACTACTTGTGAAGTCAAGAGGAGTGATGGAAGTCACTTAATGAACATATCAGCGTATTGTGACGAGTGATATACATGATTTAAAGATAAATACACAACACTCATGTTTTGGGAAAACACAAGTGTCACCCCGCGCAGTTGCTGATGAAGCTCGAGGAGAAAATTGCGGATCCAGCTTGTCTCGGCAACGACATTAGCCACAGCCCAATACTTTGCTTCAGCACTAGAGCGGGAGGTAATGACATGTCGCTTTGAAGGCCAAGATACTAGATTATCCTCCAAGAACACAAATCATCAGAAGTGGATCTTTGAGTGTCTGGATAGCCTGCCCAATCAGTATGAGAACATGCTTGTGGAGAATCAATGCCTGACCGAGAAAGTGTAATTCCATGTGAGACGGTGCCGTGGAGGTAACAAAGCACACGTTTCATGGCAGTGAGGTGAGTATTCCTTGAACCATGCAGATGAAGGTAGAGCTATTGCACACCATATTAAATGTTTGGGTGGGTGAGAGTGAGGTACTAAAGGGCACCAACAATGAAGTGGTAGAGTGAAGGATCGGGTACGAGCGATGATGAGGTAGCAGTGAGCTTTCCCTTGTTATCAACAAGAGAGGAGATATGATTTTCCAATGTAGGACTTAAACTTTTTTATTTTTAAATAATACTCCCTCCGTTTCTTAAAACCCTTCATTTTTCATTTTTTTTCTTTTTCTTAAAACATTTCCCCTTTCTATTAAAAAACCACTTCATACCCTACCTATCACATCATACTTTTTCACTAACAATTAAACTATCACATCTTACTTTTACCCATCACATCAAGGGCAAAATTGGAAAGTCAACTACAATTTAACACTTCCTTATTTTCCCCCAAAGTCAAAAGAGGAACTCTTTTGAAAAACGGAGGTAGTACTTAATAATGTCTAGTGAGAAGAATAATGTACAATGATGGTGAACATTATTATTTGAATAATGACTAATGGAAAATGACCAATGGTCCTACATTAGAAAATAAAAATATATAGTCTTATATTGAGAAAGTCATTCTGTTTTAATCATTTTTAAGTAAATTCGCCATTTATATTAATAGTCTTCCGAAGTCTTTTTTTATCTAAGTAATATACGATTCCGGGTCATCCTCATGACATTGGTGAGGATCAATATCATATGAGCTGCTCAAATTTTTGTTTAATTATAAATAAAAAATGCTTCCTAAGCTAGTACATTACAACTAATAAGTCTCCCACCATTTCGTTCATTGAAAAATGCTACCACATGATGAACGTTAGTACGGACTATCTAACCTTTTACTCAATAAGCTTCTTTCCTTCTATAAATTGGGGCATCAGCTTCCTATATGATATTTCTTGTGTAACACACCAAAACCAACCAATTAACTCTCTATCTCCTCACAAACCATGACGACGGCGAGGGCTTCCCTTCATCGTCGTCATCCTCTCCCGTCCATTTTCCTCATCATGACCATCTTCTCATCGTCCTTCCTCACCGCCCTCTCATCAAGACCATTCCCGTCCCAGCCCGTGCTCGGCACGGACGGGAAGGAGCTAAAACTCGGCAAGCCCTACTACGTCTTCTCCACCCTCCTACAGAACCCGCAAGGGTTATGCCTCGTGGACAACGCCGCCTGCCCGGACGACGTCGTCCAGTGCCCCTCCTTCTACGCCGGTGACCTCCTCGGGCTGCCTGTCACCTTCTCCCCCATCAGCCCGAGCGAGGACACCGTCGTGCGGGAGGACACCCCCTACCACATCCAATTCCCCCCTCTCCCCGGGGGGAACTGCAGTGACGAAACCGGAAACCTCTGGTACGTCAAAGACGACCCAGAAACTCCGAACAAGGAGTTCGTCGCGATCGGCCCGGAGAGCCTCGCCGTGGAGTTTAAGATCCAGAGAGTGTTGGTGGGATACAAGATTGTGTACTGCGTGTTGATTCCGATTCCGCCCACGCCCGTTTGCTATGGGATCGGGTTGATATGGGAGAACGGGTATAACCGTTTGGGTATTGGGTTGGGTGTAAACTTGACCCAGTTTTTCTTTACCAATAACGTTACCCATCATCGTCATCATCATCTTGGTGCTGGATCCGACCCGGTGGACATTAAGCTCGCCAGCCATGAGCTCCTAGCTAGCTGATTAAGCGACAAATAAATAATACTTTGTGGAGTGTATTGATTTGAAATTAATTCGTGTTGTTGATGGAGGGCATGCATGTAATAATAATTTGTGTGTTTAATGAGTGTGCTCACACCTTTATCCCTATAATGGTTTCTCATTGTTGCTTTAACTAGCTTAAGCATTTGCTTTGGAAAGTTTTTTGGATTTGGAATCTATGTCACTAGTACCTATTTGGGCTTTTACATGGTTTATTTTGGATCAATTGCATCAATTTTTGTTCGATGCTAATGCTCACGATGTAAGAGGTTGGGATCAATTGCATCAGTTTTTATAACTAATGCAATCGATAGCAATTGCATTGGTTATTAGGTAGAGTTGTTCTATTGTGGCCTAATGGATTAAATTCAAATTCAAATAATTAGAGTAATAATAATATTTATAATTTTGTTAATAATTATTAATAATAATTATAATGAATAAAATTTACAATAATAATTTTATTTTAATTTTTAATTATTAATTAATATTACATACTATCATTATCATTATAAATTATTATTATTATTACGTGTTACCATTAATGATGATTATTATATATTATTATTGACAATAATCGTTGTTATTATTATATTTACAAAAAATATTATTATTAATCACTATTAATAATAGTAGTGATTAATTACTCGCATACCGTTGAGTCGCGAGCGACTCCGCCCTCCGGACCCCAGGCAAGGGGACGTCGTCCCCCTTGACCCCCTGACTCGCTGACCGGGCAGCCAGACCCCCGTTTCCTTATCTGCGTAGCGGCAAACAGTACAGATTCAAGGCATATTAACAGTATGCACCTATGGTGCACCAAAGAAGCACTCCACAGTGAAAGGTTAAATTACTTTGGAAAGGCCGGGTAAAGTTGAGATTATTCTAGATAATTTTTCCTTATTTAATTACAAGTTAAAACCAATCTTGATAGATAAAGTAAAGCAAATAAGAAATACTCCATCTATCCAGAAAATTTCTTCACATTTGAGTTTTTTGGTAAATGTTTATAAATTTTGACCTTCATATATGAAAAAATCCAACAATAAACTTCTTAGTTACTATTACTGTCTCTCGATAATTTATGTTTGTTTGCATATTTTCATCAATCATTTGATAAGATAAAATATTGAGGAATTTACTTAAATAATACTAAAACATAATGACTTTCCCTAAATAGCACCACATGTGTTTTTTTCCCAATGTAGCACTTTTAGTCATTATGCATTAGTCATTATTAAGTAAATATTTGCCATCACTGGACATTAAGGACATTATTAAGTGCTATTTAGAGAAAAAAGAGTTTATGTGCTATTTAGAGAAATGACTTAAGTTATTAAGTGCTATTTAGGGCAAAAAAGAGTTTAAGTTCCCAAAGTAGGACTAAAACATTACAAATATCAAAATAAGACTTTCATAATTTTATTCTCGAAATAGGACTTACATTACCGAACATGGTCATGTACACTATAAAAAAGATACTAATGTGCATATGTAAAATGTCACATTACCACAGTGCAAAGTTCTATTTCGAGGAAAAAAATATGAAAGTCCTATTTTAGTACTTTTCTCAATGTTTTAGTCCTATTTAGAGTCATTTCTATATTAAAAATGCGATGTTTATTGTTGGACGGAACGAGTATTTGTTTTATTTACCTTCCTACCCTCGGCTCGGGTCACGTCATACGTGAACTTTGGAGGAATTAAAATTGCATTGTTGCCTAATTACTCCCTATAAAAAGGTACTCTCGCTAGAAAGCATACATGATAATTAAACATTAATCTCCTCCTAATTAACACCAAAAATGGGGGATCATCTCCTTCTCATGCTCTCCTCTCTCCTCCTCCTCTCCTCCGTCGCCTTCTCCACGGCCTCCTCCTCCTCCTCCTCCTCCTTCCCTCCGGTGGTCGACGTCGATGGCCACGTGCTCATGACGGGCAAACCCTACTACGCACTCTCCGGCCTCCTCCGGCACCCCCTCGGCCTGTGCTTGCCAGACGACGTCGGGCAGAACGACGTCGTCCAGTGCCCCTTACTCAAGCACGACTCCCGCGGTTTCCCTGTCGCCTTCACACGCGTCAAAGACGACGACGGCGATGAAGACGACAGGGAACACGGACGCGTCGTCCGAGAAGACACTTTCTACCGGGTCCAGTTCTGGGACGACAACGACAACAACAACGACAACGACAACGACAACGAAAACAACAACGACGACAACAACAACAACGACAACGACAACGAAAACAACGACGACGACGACGACGACAACGACAACAACTGCGGTGGCGACGATGGAGAGATTGGAGGCGTGGAGGAACGGCGAAGACGGCGACGTTCGGACACGACGAACGTTTGGTACTTGAAGAAAGGGGATGTGTCGAGGCGGGTGTTTGTGGCGGTAGGTTCGAAATCTAACGCCGTAAAGAGTGTACGATTTGCTATCAAGAGAGTGACCCTTGGCTACAAGTTGGTTTATTGCGTCCAAAGTCCGAAGCGGAAGGGAAGCTCCTTCCCTGCGTGCTTTGGGGTTGGGTTGATTCGGGTTGATCGGTACAACCATTTGGGTATCGGGCTGGGTGCTCGCCCGGTCCAGTTTTTCTTCAAGAAGAAGACCGATGATGATGATGATGATGATGATATGCCACATATCCCAGAGATGAGCCGCCATCTAGTGGTCAATAACACTAATACTAATAATATCAATTAATATGTATAAATAAAATTGATAATGGTTAATTGTGTTAAACTAAATTGAATTATCATATGTGCATAGGTACCTTTCTACTGCAAATATCCAATAAAATGCTTTCCGTAAAACCATTGGAAAAATTATCCATAATAATCATAATTTTATTAGTCTTTAAAAAATAATCTCATATTTCCTCACTGTGATGTATAATAATTCCAACTTTACTAAAATTTGCGAGTTTTGAGTCGACGTTAAGTTACTCACGGTGAGATAACTGAAACTACATGTTTTGCGCAACAAAATGAAAGTTGAAATTATTTTTGATGAGTTTTTGTCTTTATTTTGTTTTGAAATTTTCATTTAATTATTAAACTGGCTTTTTTTTTTAACCGAAAGCAAAGATATTTATTTCACCCAATAACATTTAACCCCCTTTTATTTTATTTTTTTGCTCGCCTATATAAAGGCCTCCAACCCTTCATTCCTTTACCTTTCGCGCACATCCTCCTGAGCTCTTACCGGTCAAGTCTCTAGCTTTAGTCTCCCAACCCTCCGAGTCAAGTAAGCTTTCTCTTCTTTTCTCCATTTTCTTTCCCGGTCATGTCTTCAGAAGAGGATAGCCAAAACCTCTCATTCTCAGATGCCTACGCATCTGAGGATTCTACCACGTCTTCTTCCTCTACCGATTAAGCTTCGCCCGGTACTCCTTTCACCGAGCTTACTTATTTCATTCAGCTTGAGCCCGAGCTTGACCTAGAGCTCTTCCACAGACTCGATGACTGGTACATTCTCTCCCCTCCTCTTCTTCGCCAACGGGTGGGTGGTGGCCACCTTCTTCACCTTGTTTGGGAGAGGATTCGGTTCAGCTACCCCGGTCTAAGGAGTTTCCTCCTCATCAATAATCTCGACAGTTTCCACAACATGACGATGCCAGCGTTCAGACGTGCCATTATGTTCAGGGGTATGTGGAGGAGTGGTAAAATGAGATACCCCATGACTAGCCAGAAACGACCGTAACTTAATGTATATATTCACCACCATTGTCAGAGTAGAGAGAAATAATGGGCGTGGCGAAAAATTTTTCAACCAAGTTCTTATAGGTGGGAAATATATCAGAGACATCAGATTTACGATGAAGCGGATAGATCCAGACATATTTGGTGTAATGATCCACAAAAATGACATAACATTTGTAACCATAAAAGGAAACATCATTGCATGACCATACATCAGAGTAAATTAATTGCAGTGGTGCAGTACTAACGAGAGTGTTGTCTAAGAAAGGCAACTTATGACTTTTATTAATGGAACAAGAGGAACAATGAAAAAACTCAAAATCCTGTTTCGAGAGAGAACTTTATTTGACGGATGGCCGAACGAATGGTGCAGCCCAGATAGAATAGTAGAGTGAGCCTCGCGTAATGAAACAGGAACACCATAATAAACACCACCTTGATTTTTACCTTAAAGAAGAGGCGTCCCCGTTGCCAAATCCTTGACAACAAATGATAGGGGGAAAAATTCAACAAAAACATTGTTAGTGTGACATAATTGAGAAACTGAAACAAGATGTTTGGAAAGTTGGGGAACACACAAAACATTGTTTTAGGCTAACGAACTAGAGGGAGTAGGAATGGAGGTGTTGGCAACATGAGAGATAGGAAGACACTTACCGTTGCCAGACGAATCTCATTGGGACCACCGTAGTCAGAGAAGGTCTGCAGAGAATTGGGAGTAGGTGTTGTATGATGACTTGCCCCACTGTGAAACATCCATTGAGCAGACCCATCGAAGGTAGCAAAAGTAGTATGAGCAACCGGGTGCGACCCACCAACAACCGTGGATTGCATACCATTATCACGAAGGAGACGAGCAAGTAACCGACACACCCTAATATCATGGCCGGGAATAGCACAGAATTGACATGCACCATTAGAAGCAGAGGCGCGCTGAGGATGTCTGCCAAACCCAGAAGAAGTGCGGTTCTAATGCCGACCTTGAGGAGAACGTGCAACATCATGAGAGGAGAAGGAGGAGGCATGGCCACTATTGCCAAACGAACGACCAGACATGCTGGACTGAGTAACATTGGCCGTGAGCACTATCACTAAAGTGGCCTCCTCAGAAGCTTTCAACTTGCATTCGTAATCACGAAGGATATTACCAAGTTCCGTGAAGGAGATGTGCGTCTCACGAAGATGAGCATTTGATGTGATATGATCATAATCAGACCCAAGTTGATTTGAATGTGAGAAACAAAATCTTCCTCAGGGATGGGATTTTGAATGAATGCCAATTCATTCGCCAAAGAATGCATTTCATGGAGATAGACAACAATAGAACGGTCACCACGAGGATTCTTTGCAAGCTTGGACTTTAGGGAAAGAACATGACCGCGACTAGTGCTTGCAAAACTGGAATGGAGATTCAACCATGCTTCACGAGCCGTGTCGATGTTGGAAATAAGAGGTTGATCTGAATATTGTAAGTGCAACTGGCGAGGAGGGCACCGACTATAGCTTGGTCCTGACGGAAACAAATCGCATAACACGGGTTTATGGCATCGGAAACTACCTTTGTGGGAGCAGCGAGTGTGCCGTCCACATAGCCCAAAAGATCGAGCCCAATGAGAGTAGAGCGAACTTGACGCTGCCATAGAGGAAAATTGGTGGTAACCAATTTTATGGGAAAGTGAGTTTTGGCATGTAAATGGATAAGTGGAGTATCTTTGATGAGGGAGTAAGACATGGTGAACGTGAGCGGAGAAGGCGACCGAGTAGCGGGAGAAAAAAACAGGGATTGACGATAGGATTATCGTAACAGCTCTGATACAATATAGAGTTGGGAGTCAACTTAATTTACTTCATTCACATGATGGTGCTTAAATAGATACAAATAGAGACTCCTAAGCAACTACTACTTACAAGAGATAAGTACAAGAATAAAGTATTTACAAAAGATGGAGATAATACGGAGACTAGATACATTGGATCTGGACTGAGAATAATTATATGGAATTATCCTTAATAGTTTCCTGTCGGACCGGTATAGTCTTGGACGGAGTGGGGCGCTAACCGGTTGAAGAGGAAGCACCGGTCCTCTTGGGAATGCTGTAAGATTTGAACTCCATATATGCAAATCCAAGAAATATATTGAGTAAAGCAAGCTGAACCGGTATAAGAGTAAAAGAAAAAAAGCAAGAAATACCTCGGTGACCACGACCCTCGGCCTCTGTAGTGTTGCCCGGGGAGGGTACCCCGTGCCCCGCTGCTTCATGGGCTTGCGAGGTACCCTCGCCACCCGGGTTATATCCCAACCAGCTTCATGATGTAAACATTATTCCAAGAAAAATTTGCACTAAATATGACTAAAACATAAGCCATTTCCTTATGTAGGATTTAAACTTTTATATTCCCTAAATAGAACTTAATAATGTCTAGTGATGGTAAACATTTATTTGAATAATGACTAATGAATAATGAACAATAAACCTACATTGGAAAATAAAAATATATGGTCATATATTGAGAAAGTAATTATGTTTTAATCCTATTTAGGTAAAATTCCGATCCCCTTATTCCAAAGGGACAGATTCTTTAAGCCTAAACCTCCATATACTTTTTTGTCAAACAGATGTCATCTCAGAAAACCAAGAGAGATTTTTTATATTCATGAGATGATCCCCACAGAAAATTCCTACATAAGGCCTGAATTTTATGCATTAGCTTAGAGGGAATTATAAGGGCACTGGAAATACCCATGAAGCCCCGGGGCTTCAAACCTTCTCTCTGCCACGTCAGCTTTAACTTACCTCACAGTTTCAGTGGAAATGGGTTTGAAGCCCTGGGGCTTCAAACCTTCATTTTTTACATTTTAAATTCACATCTTCTAAAATTAAATTAATAAAATTTAACTATTTAATTATTTAAAAGAATTGAAATGATAATAGTTCATTAAAAAATACATTCATTATAAAAAATTACATTCATTAAATAAAAAATTACATTCATTATAAAAACTACATTCATTAAATAAAAAAATTACATTTATTGTAAAAAACTACATTCATTAAATAAAAGAATTACATTCATTAAATAAAAAAATTGCATTCATGAACAAATAAAAAATACTTGAATAATATTTTTTTTAAAAAAAGATGATAGATAGAGAGAAATTTGTATTTGTGTTAAATTTTAAAAAAAATTAATTTAATTTATAGAGAAGAAAAGAGGAAAAAAGTGGGAGGAAAAAGAAAAAGAATGCATCAAAATGCCTTCAAATTGCGTCAAACATATGACGCAGAAGTTTTAACGCAGCTATAACGGGAGAGGGGGGCGGTGATTAGCGCCCCCAGGCGTCAAATGCCTCGTAACGCCGGTGGGCGTTAGAGGTAGTTCCACTGCTCTAAAAAGCTTGCCCTAGAAGCCGATAATTCCATAGAGCACAAAATTTATCAATTTCACCTTACCTGCATATGAGAGATTCTTGGAAGACCAAGAACCTATTTTGATTGTCATCTCTCACTTAGTCTGTTACAATCTACTCCCTCCGTCCCAAAAAGTCTTTCATGTTTCATTTTTTGCGCATCCCATAAAACACTTCTACCGACATCTAAAATGCTTAAAATTTACAACATTTCTTCTTTATTGTGGGTAGAAGTTATTTTGAAAGTTTTTTTGGCATTCAAGGTGAGATAGAAGTGTTTTATGGGATGCGCAAAAAATGAAACATGAAAGGAAGACTAATCTTTTACAACAAAAAAAGAAATTGAGGTAGAAAGTCATTTTAAAAATTTAAATAAAAATTTCAAAAGAAATTAAAAAAAGAAAGTTCATAAAAAATAATCTCAACTTTCATTTTGTTGCGTAAAACATGTCATTTCCGTTAACTTGCTGTTAGCAACTAAATGCCAAGCTAGAACTCACAAATTTTAGTAAAGTTTGGATTACTATGCATCACAATGAGTGGTGTGATATATTATTTTTAAAAGAATGAGTAAAATTAGTATTATTCTGGATAATTTTTCCTTAATTATTTTTTGATAAA